GTTGTTGTGTTGTTGTTATGTGGTTGTTGTTTGTGTTGTTGTGTTGTTGTGTATGTGGTTGTTTTGTGTTGTGTTTTTGTGGTTTTGTTGTGTTGTTGTTTTTGTGTTGTTTGTTGTGTTGTTGTGTTGTTGTTATGTTGTTTTGTTGTGTTGTTGTTATGTGGTTTTGTTGTGTTGTTGTGTTGTTTGTGTTGTTGTTTGTAGTTTTGTTGTGTTGTTGTGTTTGTGTTTTGTTGTGTTGTTGTGTTGTGTGTTGTTGTTGTGTTGTTGTGTTGTTGTGTTGTTGTGTTGTGTTTTCCTCGTGTGAGACACAAAGGCAGGAGCTGGACTGTCACGTCTCAGATGAAGTTCTGGCCGCAGAAGCAGAAAGCAGCAGATTGCCGCACATCAGCATTCTTGTAAAGAAAGTGGAGCCTGATTGCTGCGCTATGGGCTGCTGGTTTACATCTGTCTCTGGACAGAAGCACTACCTGCTCCCGCATGCCAATAAGACAGCCGGAGCTCCGCACTGGCACCGTGCCCGCCGCTCAGGCCAGCGCCGCTCTGTGCCCGCGCCAGACAATGAGCTTCTGCATTCTAGCGATTTTACAAAGGCTACCACCTTTTCCAAAGCTGCTTGAGACAGATGTGTGCCTCTGAGGGGAGATGAGGAGCACCTGGCCCTACCTGTGCTCTGTCAGAGCTCAGTGGGCTGGAGACGATGGAGCGAGTGCACGTTCAACACAACTTTGTTCTACAAGAGCTCGAGGAGGAAGTGGGATTTCAGCTTTTAAGACCAGACAAAACACATGATGTTAAAGCTGCTGTGCTCACGTCTCTGCAGAACTAATATTACAAATATCATCAGTTTGTACGACTGGAATAAATGACACACGAGCAGCTTATTCAAAGTCTGTGTCTTTACATCAGGTTTTTTTTTATCTTAAACAGCTCGTGGAGACAGAAAACTCTGACACTTTGTTCTGTTTTCAGTCCAGACTCAGTGTCCTGCCAGAGACCAGAGGTACGTCCACTGTAAACCCCACTCACCTCAGGGTCATGTGACACAGACACCTGTCCCTGTGTCCCCACCTGTCCTCACCTGTCCCACCTGTCCCCCACCTGTCCCTCACCTGTCCCTCACCTGTCCCACCTGTCCCTCACCTGTCCCTCACCTGTCCCTGTCCCTCACCTGTCCCTCACCAGACCTCACCTGTCCCTCACCTGTCCCTTCCCACTGTCACCTGTCCCACCTGTCCCCCACCTGTCCCCACCTGTCCCACCTGTCCCTCACCTGTCCCCCACCTGTCCCTGTCCCACCTGTCCCTCACCTGTCCCCACCTGTCACCTGTCCCTCACCTGTCCCACCTCACCTGTCCCTCACCTGTCCCTGTCCACCTGTCCCACCTCACCTCACCTGTCCCTCACCTGTCCCTCACCTGTCCCTCACCTGTCCCTCACCTCACCTGTCCCACCTCACCTGTCCCCACCTGTCCCTGTCACCTGTCCTCACCTGTCACCTGTCATGTCCACTGTCTGTCGATCACCTGTCGATCACCTGTCTCTCAAATGTCTCTCGTTATTTTTGCTGCTTATTTTGAATGTTTTGTTACGATTTATATTTTTGCTCTTTGTTATTATATTTATTGTGATGTGTGACTCTGTGTCCAAATCATTTCACTTGTGGATGAATAAAGTTTGTCTGAGTCTGAGTCTTGTCCAGGACACCAGGTCGTTCCACACAAGGACACGTCACTTCACTTTGGAGAAGACTTGAAATGCTCCAAGTTTGGTTTGTTTGAACGTAAGTCTGACGATTGTTTTTCTTCTGAATCTGCTGTTGTACAAAAGTTGGGTTTGTGTTTGTGTTCAGGGGTAAAAACCGTTGAGTTGAGGTTCCCCAGGACAGAAGAACACGACCCTGAGCCGCTCCCTGAAGAGACGTCTCCACCTGCAGCCAAGACGCCTCCACCCTCCATCACCTCCAGGACCACAGAGCCCACGGACAGAGACGAGCCCTCGCAGGTCAGGCCTCTGCTGCCGACCTCTGCCCTGCTCCACTGTCAACACAAACACAAATACTAAAAAAGACCGTTCTGATTTGTTTTTCAGAGTTTGACAGAGGAACCTCCTGGAAACATCAGCCAAGTCACTTTTACCATTAGACTGGGTCACATCAAACCGTCAGATCAGGAGTTCAGTGAGTTCCTTGGGAGCGTGGGCCTGAGCTGGAGCCACGTGGAGCCTGCCCTGACGCGCCTGTGCCAGCTGCTGCGGGCGTACGCTGTGCCCGCCGCCGTGGTGAAGGGGCAGGCGCTGCTGGAGCTGGCTCAGACCTGGGACGGGGAGCGGTCAGGAGCTCCTCCGGTCAGACGCCTCCTCTCTGCTCTACACAATCAGGACGACGTCGTGGAAGTTCTGTCACGTCCAGGTCAGCGCTTCAGGGGAGAGGGGGCGTCGAGGCGGCTGCTGTTCACATCCAGACCTGCTGGAGGCGCCACATCGCCCGCGCCCACTACCT